ACACACACACACACACACACACGCTTGTTGGCGGGAGCAGCCTCGCGCGCAGCGACGAAGCGGGGAGAGCGCAACAGTCGGAGCAGCACGCGCGGCGGCCGGGCACTGAACACCGCCTCGGATGTAAACCAAACGCCATCGGCCATCTGGGCACAGACGGCAGGGAGGGACCACGCAGGACAGTGGGAGAGACTCACCACGGTCGCGCGGGAGTTGGGAAACGCCATGAGCTGCCCGAGCGTGGACGGCGAGGGGAAACTTGCACACCAGTGAGGATGTCCCACGGCGCCGCGAGGGGAGCCAAGAGAGCGGCAGACCGCTGGGGACGAGAAGCTGCAGGAGGGAAGAGCCCAAGAGCAGGCGCAGAGCACGAAGAGGAAGGCCCGGCGGGAGGCGAAAGAGAGAGCGCAGGCAGGGGCAAGAGAGGCGGGCACGGAAGTCGGGCTGAGCGCCGGCCCAGCGCTGAAGCATGCCGAGGACGGACCCAGTGCCGGTCGGGCGAGGGGCTCGCGTGTGCCTCGGCCCTGCAGTCGTCGTTTCTTGCAGGTGCACAAAGCTGCGTCGCGGCCGGCCGGACCAGCTCGTCGAGGGCGTTCGCGGGGTGTGCTCACATGCTCCGCGTGCGAATCATATATTAAGACTGCAGGGATCTAGTATTAAAAACAACGATGAGTTAATGCATAAACTTATTCATACATGAATCATGTGTGAAAATCCTTTTGTATTTTTCTAGTATATATATATAGATAGATAAATATATATAATAATAATAATAATAATAATAATAATAATAATAATAATAATAATAAGAATAGTACTAATAGTAATAATACTAAAGATAATACTAATAATGATACTAATATTAATATAATAATAAGAATAATAATAATAATGATACGAATGATACTAACATTAATAATAATAATAACAATAATGATACTAATATTTATAATAATACTATTAATCATAATAATAATAATAATAATAAAAATAAAAATACGAATAATAATAGCAATAACAATAATGATAATAATAATAATAACAACAACAACAACAACAACAATAATAATAATGTTTTAAAAACTGCCCTGTAAGCAGCTGGCCATCGAGCGCGCGCCAGTGCGAGGCAGCAGACAGGCAGCGGCGCGTGCAGAAAAAAGGGTGCACGACGGGCAGGCACAGTGCAGCGCTGCGGGGGCCAGCCCGCTCGGGGGCGGCACGGTGCGGCGAGGCGAGAAGGAAGGGGCCCAGGGACACACAAATAAACACACACACACACACACAAAGAACAGGATTCCCCACAGTTTCCCATATCATTTTCTTGGCTTTCGTCTTCCCCCCCCCCCCACTTCCCATATCTTCCCATATGTTTCCCTGGGAATCGACGATGAACTGTGTCTGTGTGGTTCTGTTCCCCTCCCGAGAGGGAGCCGCTGCCCCTGCGGCCCGCGCCCGCACCCAGGTGGTGGGACGGCCCCGGGAGAGAGCGCAGCGGCAGGGAGCGGGGAGCAGGGCGGCGCCCGGGGAGCGGGGAGGAAGTACGGGAGGGCAGGGGGGAGGAGTTGGAGGAGGAGGGGGAGGAGGAGGAGGAGGAGGAGGAGGAGGAGGAGGAGGAGGACGAGGAGGACCCCCTCGCCCTGCAACTAACGGAGGAGGACCCCCTCGCCCTGCAACTGATGGGCGGGGATCAGGGATCGGTGGGGCACCACAGCGACGACAGGGCGACGGAGGGAGGAGAACGACCGCCCCTGCGACAGCCCGAGGCACGAGCTGAGACGGAGCAGAGGAGCGACGCGCGACGGCGGGACAGAGGGGCGGACCAGAGAACAAACGCCACCACCCCACCTACAGTCCCATGCGGGGTCTTCACGTATACGAGGACATCTGGCGTGCCGCAGGTGGGGTGGTGACGTTTGTTTTTTGGGTCGAGCCGACCGTGCGGTACCAAGACCAGCGACTCCACAGAAAGGTGCACACACACACACACACACACACACACACACACACACACACACACGCACACACACACACACACGCGCGCACACACACACACACACCTTACGTCGCAGCGCGGCAGGTGCAGTCCGCACGCGAACTCGGGCAAGCACACACACACACACACTTTTTGGCGATCGCGACCTCGCGCGCAGCGACGAGGCGGAGCAAGTCGAGCAAGCGGTACGGAGCGAACGCGCGCGGCCAAGCCATCAGACCCAGGAC